TGTCTCAGCCGCTGCCCACAGCTACTCCAAGGCTGCTGTGGGCTCAGTTCCTTGTAGGTCACACCTGCCTCTCCATTCCCTCCTCTCCTGATGCTGTATGACCAGCTCCAGCATCCCTGTGCCACACTAACGAGGCAGGGTTCACACAGGTTCTCACACAAGCAGGGCTGTGGAATTCAGTTCCCTGTTCCTGAGGCTCCCCAGAGTCCCCAAACTGGGCTTGGGCAGAAGTTTCAGGGACCTTCTCCCTACTATCCTGGCCCCACCATGTTTTGTACCTTTGGGTAGAGTAAAGATAAACTTGTTCCTGGTGAGGGTGAGGCTCCGCCCGGGATCCTGCTGCTCAATGACATCCGTGACAGCAGAGCAGGCTGGGAGGGGGTCCCCATCATTCACCTGCAGCTGCACTCCAGCCCCAGAGCCTACCTGCAGGGGTTCTCAGTAAACAGCCACAAAGTGTACTGCCCTCCTCGTTGAAGCTCACTCTCAGGATCTCAAACTCCAGATCCAGGGTCTTCTCCTCCGCCTTCAGCCTCTGGCTGAGTTGGGATGCAGGGAGCCAGGGCTTAGGACCCCTAGAGACCATGACTATGGGCAGGGCCCAACCCCAGGAAGAGCACTGCCCCCTCCTGTGCCAGCCTCAGCTGGGTGAATCTGAGAGCCTGCAGGCTGGGTGCTCCGCTGTTTGTTTGCAGAGAAACTAGGTAACAAGCCAGGAAGCAGGATTTGACTCACCTGGACAGCAAAGGCAGCCACTAGCCCCACCCTGCTCATATTTGTTTCAGCACCTACTGTGTATGCGGCCCTATTTTAGGCATGTGGAATATAGCAGTGAATCCAAAATTTTTGCCCTCCGGAGGATCCTTACTTATCTTCTTGTGAGGGAGGCAAGTGGTGAAGACAAAACGAATATGAAATACAGCAAATAAGTAACTCATAATGTGTGCTAGCTGTTAAATTCCAACATTAGGGCAGGAAAGCAGGAGATGGTGGTACATACCTGTAATCCTGAAACTTAGGAGGCTGAGGCAGGGAGATCACTACAAGGGTGAGGCTGGCCTGGGCGACTTAGTGAGCTGAAGGGCAGCCTGAACTACACAGTGAGACCCTGTCCCAAACAACAAACATTAGAGCAGGGTCAGAGATGCAAGGCATATGATCTGTGGTAGTCAGAGGGTCCTGTTTCTGCAAAGCCCATCTCTGTGTGTCATGCCCTTCATTCCCAAGAGTCCTTATCCTGGACTTGGGGACCCTCCAGGCCTACCTCTGCAACCAGATCAGAGACTGAGCCAGCACTCAGAGCATGGGGGCTCGCTCACTCAGCACTACCCACAGGCAGTGCACAGCCTCTGGTACCAAAAAGTCGAGCTGGGGGCTGGAGAGATGGCTCAGTGGTCTAAAGCACCTACTTGGAACAAGCTTGGCAAAGCACAGGGACCGCGGTTCGATCCCCCAGCACCACATGCCAGCCAGCCCCGCCCCCTGGTGGGCTGAGCTGGCCATACACACACACACACACACACACACACACACACACACACAATAAATAAATGTTAAAAAAAAAAAAAAAAAAAAGTCGAGCTGGACTCTTTCCTCAACCCAGGCCTTACTGATGCCCGGTGGGAGTCAGGCGACTCTGGGTGCTCCTCAGTAAGGACTATCTGCTGCCACTCCGCTACTGCCACCACCTCTATCATCACCACCCCCATCAGCATCATCACCAGCTTCGCCACAGCTACTACCACCACCACCTACCCTCACCACCAGCCCCGCCCACACCACCGCCATCCCCCTCACGGTCACCATTGCCACCATCATCACTGCCATTTTTGCGAAGGTCATTATCAGCATCATTCATGAGACTTCTCAGTAAGTAGCTGTGGAGCACCAGGCAGTCTGTGTGGCTCTGTGAGGCAAGGATAATTATTTCCTGTTTCTTAAATGGGGAACCCAAGGCTAAAAGAATTAAACTCCTCCCAGTTCACATGGCTAGTAAGTAAGAGTTGAGATAACAATCTAGGAATCTTGTCTACACTCGTCCCTATTAAACATGTCCTGGGACTGGCTCAAAGATAAGAACTCATCCTATTAGGGAATTTTATGCCAACAATGCAGAAAGATACTTCTGAGTTTTTTTTTTTTTTTTTTTTTTTGGCAGAACAGGGGATTGAACTCAGGCCCTTGCACTTGCCAGGGAAGCGCTTATTCCACTGAGCCATCTCCCCGGCCCCAATACTCCTGAGTCTTTTTTAATTTTTTTTATTTTTTATTTTTTTTATTTATTTATTTATTTATTTTTTATTTTTTTTTACTCTGAGTCTTAAGAGAACACTTATGTACAGCAGAGACTACATCCAAAAGAAGTTCACTTCAAGTTACCTTGGCTAGGACATACCATTTTCCATAAAGGGAGATTTCAGTCAAAAGGTGGGTGATAGTCAGGCCAGCTGAGGGTCTCAGCATATGCAGTCGGCTTCCTTTGCAATGAGTCAAACTCAATTTCTTTGGGTTCCTCCGGGGGTAACTGAGGCCCTGAACTGTAGGTCAAGTTCATTCAACAGATCCCGTCTTTGGTTGTCTAGGTCCCCTTCTGGACACTGGGTGGGAGTGGGGTAGGGTAAGTCAGGCCTCAGCTTAGTGATCTACAACTCTAAGGCACACTGGGAAGGGCAACAGGATGGTCATGACAGGGAGAGGGTGGGTGGCCCAGGCTGCCCAGAGACCACTGTCTCTATGGCAGTGCTTGGCTAGCTATGGCCTAGAACATCATGATGTGGGGGAGCAGCATTTTTCTCTTGCATGTTTGAAGAGACCCCTAGAGAGGTTGCAACAGGGGGATCTGCTCCCCTTATCCGAGGGGCAACCTCTGCTCCCCAGCGCTATGCTCTGAAAGCCAGGACTGTGCCCAGAATCTGTATGTGTTTCTGAGTTTCTTCTGCACTCTCCCTTCCCCCTTCTTCACCTTTCTACAATGCCTTAGTGATCTCCACCATCTGGCATCTACACCCTGTTCCCTACACTGTCCCCAAGAAAACCTCACTTTTTGATATATGCACATGGTTACTTAAAAAAAAGAGAAAAAACTATGGTAAAATAGCATAAAATAAAATTTACCCTTAACCATTTTCAAATGTGCAGTTTAGTAGTGCTAAATACCTTCACCTTGTGCAATCCATCTCCAGAATTCTTTCCATCTCATAAAATGGAAACGGTATCCATTCAACCACAGCCACCCCCACCACCCGCCCCCATCCCTAGGAGCCGCCCTTCTATTCTCTTTCCTCTAGAATCTGACTGATCCGGGCACTCACGTGAGTGCAGCCCTCCAGCATGTGTCCTTTTGTGACTGGCTCCTTTCAGGAGGCAGAGTGTCCTGGGGAAGGCCATTTGCCCAGGCCAGGCTGCCCTTTCCCCCTCTTGTCCCTGCTACTGCTGCTGCTGCCTCTGCCTGCACTGCCCAGAGCCCCCCAAGCAGCCCTGCTCCTCCTGCAGACCGGTAAGCATAGGCAGTGACCCAGGCATGACTCTGCCATTCCTTTCCTATCTCCAGTGGATGACCTGTGGTTGCTGGATGGAATGTTCCTTCAGGACAGGTTTGGTTGCCTGGGGAACAATTAAAGTACCATGGATGGATGGATGGGTGGGTATGATGGATGGATGGATGGATGGATGGATGGACGAGCTGATGGACAGAAGGATATATGCATTGATAAACAAACCCAGCTTAACTTCTGCTTGTGGTTTCCATCTATAAGAAGCAAAGACCATTCTGGGCTTTTGAATCAAACTTGCCTCAGAGATGCATCAACTGCCCCCATGGTCCAGCTGGTACTCAGAAGGGAGGACAGTGGTGAGAGGGTAAGCAGAAGGGCAGGAGGGAGGGGCTGCTGATGCTTGGGCTGCCCTAGACCTGGCCTTAGTCCTACAGAGAAAGCCTGGCACCACAAGGGAACGTTAGCATGCTGGGTCAGATAGCACCCCACTTTATAGTTGAGGCTGGCATGGCAAATCCCTGCCCCCACCTCAGGCTTCTTTTTACTCCTAGCCACCTCCCTGGCTGAGCTCCAGGGGTCTGGGCACCAGGTGAAGCTGTTGTGGAGGGTAGAGGCAGGAGGTGAGCAGGAGCAGCCCCTAAAGGATGACTTCCAAGCCACTTCTTCTATCTAGCATGGGAGATGCAGTGCAGCCCTGAGCTCCTTTCTCTCTTCAGCATTGGAGTGACCCCTTGAGTCCTGCCTTGGTTGAGGAGCCTGGGCTTGCAATTAGACTACAGAAGGTGGGGAGAGGGATAGAGGGTGGGGTGGGGGGGCCCTCTCCTGATTCCCACAATGACTCCCTTCAGCCTCTTTTGCCACTACCTCAAGGGCCCTGGGGCTCTTAGGCTCTAGTCCTCAAGGACCCATCTAGCCTGGTGGCCTCTCTGAGGAGAGGGGAATCTTCCTTGTAAGCTGGACATCAGTGAGTCCTGAGAGTGTGACCTTACCTGGGCTGCAGCTGTGCCCCTACCATGAGGAGGAAGTGGCCTCCAGAGGTCAAGTGGGTAGGGAGGATAGTGGGGTCTCTGCCATTCCATGAGATCTTCAGACCCTACCTCTCTGCAGCATCCCCACCCTCATGGGACACACCCATTGCTTTAGGGCTGAGGCCCACAGGTTAGGAGGTGACCCCAGTCTGGGGCTGGTAGGGTGAGACACGATACCTTCTGTCTGTGTGGCACAGGTGGGAAAGTGACAGGGGACCTGGAAGGTCTGTGTTTGTGGCACTTGGCTACTAAAGAACAAGGACAAAGTTAGAGACCTGGGCTCTTTGTCCCTCCACTGAGTCCCCGGCCAAAGGAGACTCCCCACAGCAGCACCTGTCACCCTGCACAGGTAGGAGCTACTTGGGCCTCTGAGAAGCCCTCTTGCCCTAGCTCAGCTGGGTACATGGAGTTCCCCTCCCAAACCCCTCCTCCAGCCTGATCCCCAGGGGCTAAAGTTCTTGGGCAGGAGGGAGGAGGACAGCATCCCTGCAGCATCAGCCATGCTGGCCTTGGCTTTCATGTGCCAGACAGTCGCCCTGGCAGGCTCTCAGGGCTTATCCCAGCAGGAGGCCATCTGGGACTATGAGACCAGCTCCACTGTTCCTGCAGCACCGCAGGGGACAGAGAGAAGGTAAGGGGTAGGAAGAGCAGAGCTAGAAGCCTGCTCCAAGTCAGACCAAGCCAGCCCTGGGTCAGACTGAAGTGGGGCAGGGAACAGTTTGGAAAAAGTACTGCCTGAAACTGTTAGGAGGAGAGGGACAGACTTCACAGCCAGGCAGAGAGAGACACACACAGAGGCAGAGAAACAGTGACAGAGAGAGAGAGAGAGAGAGAGAGAGAGAGAGAGAGAGAGAGAGACAGACAGACAGACACAGACAGAGACAAAGAGTTGTAAAGACACATAGAGAAAGAAAGAGACAGAAACTTACCTTGAAGCACACACTTATCATCTCAGTGAGGTTGACAGAAGGAAGCAGTTTGAGTCCAGCATGGACAGCTAGATCCTATCTCAAACTAAAAAATTTTTAAAAGGCTGGGAATGCAGCTCAGTGGCAAGGCCCTGTGTTCAATCCCTGATACTACAAAGAAAAGAAAAGGGAAAAAAATTTTTTTTAAAGAAAACAGGCAGGAAAGAAAGATAGGCAAGTTGGATTTAGACAGAAAGTGTGAAAATAATGGGGATAGAAAAAGGCTGGTGGGCAGCGCAGAACAAAAGCACAGTAAGGTAGAAAGAATGAAGACTACCAGGGAGTAGACAGAGGCTGTCAGTGGGCACCCATGCTGAAGGGTGTGCCAATTCAGCAACTTAGGAGTTCCCCTTCCACCCAAGGGGTCTCTCTACCACAGAGCAGAGCAGAGTCCACAGTCTAGGATGGGAGATTTCTGGGGAGAGGGCACTGGGCTGTGTGAGGGCCCTCGGGGATGGAGCTGGGGTCTCTGGCAAAACTTCCAGCTCAGAGGTTGACCCTGACACCCAGTGATCTCCCAGCCTCAGGGTTCCTGTAGATGTGTTGGAGTACTGGGTACTCTGAGGGTCTCTGAGTCTCTTTCTGCTTGCTTGCTTGCTTGCTTTCTCAGTATAGGGAATCAAACTTGGGACCTTGCACTTGCCAGGCAGGCACTTATGCTGCTGAGCTATCTCCTCGGCCTCTGCTTCCTTTTTCTATCTCCCTAGCCAACACTTAATTTCAAGGTTGTGCTAGCTTCAATGGAAGCTGAGGGGTGAGCAAGACTCTGCCAGGGGCAGACTCTATGCACACAGCCCTGTGGTTCCCTACATCAGTCTTCACTGCAGCCTTACAATTTCCTTTTGCTTAGTAAAAACAATTACACAGGCAACGCAAGGTTTCCAACACGTGAAAATCCTCCCCCACCTTCCCCCAAGTGTAAGGCTGTGAGCTGCTGGTTGTTTGCCTGCCAGGCTCACCTTCTCTGTCTGAACTTACGTCTACCTCGTTTAAGAGGTAGGAGATGAGATCATGATATCTGCATTGTCCCACCACAGGCTTCCTGGGCTACTGTGCTCGGCCAGTGTCCAGGAAGTTCCGCCATATCCGGAAGCCCTTTACCACGTACACTGTCAAAACCAATTGTGATGGCTATTGGGCTTACTGCCAGTTTCTTGCCATAAATAAACAGTTTGGGGCATCTTGTCTGCATCCCTACCTAAGCCCTTCTTTTTTCTTTTTCTTTGTTTTTGTAAGACAGGGTCTTAACTACACAGTCTGGGCTGGCCTTGAACTCTCTATGTAGCCCAGTCTGGCCTTGAATTCTTTTTTTTTAAAGACTCTTTTTTTTTTTTAATTATTTATTTTTATTTATTACATTTATTTATTGTGTGTGTGTGTGTGTGGCCAGCTCAGCCCACCAGGGGGCGGGGCTGGCTGGCATGTGGTGCTGGGGGATCGAACCGCGGTCCCTGTGCTTTGCCAAGCTTGTTTCAAGTAGGTGCTTTAGACCACTGAGCCATCTCTCCAGCCCTAAAGACTCTTTTTTTTGGTGGAACCAGGAATTGAAGTCAGGCACCTGCACTTGTCAGGCAAGCGCTTATTCTACTGAGCTATTTCCCTGGCCCCTGGCCTTGAATTTTTTTTTTTAATTTTTATTTATTTATTTGTGTGTGTGTGTGTGTGTGTGTGTGTGTGTGTGTGTGGCCAGCTCAGCCCACCAGGGGGCAGGGCTGGCTGGCATGTGGTGCTGGGGGATTGAACCGCGGTCCCTGTGCTTTGCCAAGCTTGTTCTAAGTAGATGCTTAAGACCACTGAGCCATCTCACCAGCCCTGGCCTTGAATTCTTGATGATCCTCCTGCCTCAGCCACCATGCCTGACCACCAAAGTCTTTCTTCAAGATGGGTTCCTCAAAGTGAACCAATTAATTGATTCTCTGTGTGGGTTTAATCCTTCCTACCTGCAAGTAATTCTCAATGGCTAAGGAACATCATGCTTAGCTCCAAGCTGGTCACAGGATGGCTTCTCTGCCTAGTCTTGAGCTCCCTCCTGCTCCTCCCAAGGCCCCTGGGCTGCCCTTTGATCATGGGCTGCTCTTTGATCAACTACCTCAGCCTTTCTGCTTCAAAGAGGCAAAGGCAGCCTGCCCTGCCCCGCTCCCTCCTCCTGAGAATTTAGCACCCGCTTCTTGTTCTGTCTTTCTTGGGCTTTTGGAAGGAGGAGTGGAGTATGGTAACCAGAGCTCAGGTGCTGCCCCACACCCTGGGGTACACAGGAATGTGCTGGGATAAAGAGCAGGACCCCAGGACCCCACTTTTCTAGGAATGGAGGGGAAGTTCTGAGGGCGCCTTTTGGTCCCCCCTGAATGGATCACACCAGGAAAGTGTGCAGAGGTCCCCCTCCCCTGGCTGCCTAGCCCAGCTGGACAACAGCAGGGCGCTGATCACCTATTAAAAGCTGAGCTGGTGGCCAGCTCTGTGCAATTCATCAGGCCATGGCCCCCTGGGACTGAGGGATGCTGACAAATGGGGGAAGGTGGGGGGTTCCTGAGCCCATCCTGACCACAGCTGGAGAAACTCAGCCATCAAAGCCCTGTGCAGGCTGCTCTGCTGGGGTTACTCAGAGGGCCAAGGGGATCAAGTTTCGGGCAAATGGCTGGGGGGGGGGGACTCAGATGGAGAGGCCCTGCTGAGGGGATCAGGGCCTGTGTGTGGGGCCCCAAGATCTGGGCCTGAGCTGCAGGAAGGGGGTGGGGTGGGCTCCTGGAGAATCAGAACAGCAAGGTCTGGGGACAGGAGGAGGGGCAGGGTCCAGGCTGCCTTCCGGAGGAGGAGGAGATCACACACCTTTTAAGGCAGGTGCTGGAGACTGCTGGGGCCAGTGGCTGAGACCCACAACCAGCGCTTCCTCTGGGACCCCAGCTTGAGTGGTTGTGAGTCTTGGGAAGGAGGGCCTGGTGTTGGGGGATGCTATGCAACCCCCCAGAGTGACCAGTGGAGGACAAGGAACAGACGCAGGGTGTGAAGCAAAGAAAGCCCTGGCAGAAGTGGGCTGGAACTAAGCTGGAGGACCAGGTAGGGCCTGGACAGGTGGGAGCAGGGAAATATGGGCCAGGGTTAGGGTGGGCACTGAGGCTGGATGAGGCAGGACAGGCTGGCACAGGGGGCTGATGGCACAATTGTGTGTGCCAAAGGGCAAGGAAGTGAAGGGTCACCTCCGAGTGGGGCCTGACCGCCACAGCACGAGGTTGTCCTGCATCAGCAGAGATCTGCCCAGCGCGAAGCCTGCTTTCCAAGGCCTGGCTGTGTGGTACCGTGCCAGCGAGGATGAGCTGTGCAAGCAGAAGCAGAGCTCTCGCAGCTGGCCAGTGCTCATGCCCTTTGGGCTAGGGCGCCTTGAGGCTACCTTTTCTCAACTGCCTCCTGTGCAGGGAGTCTCACTACTCCAGGAAAGTAAGAAAGCTGCCTTTGTCCTAGCTGAAATCTGCTCTCTATTGTCCTTCCTCCAAGCCAGTATTAGAACAGCCCTGTGGAAAGGGAAAGGAAGGGAAAGGGGAATACACCACTCCCTGGAACAGCAAGCCACACTCCTCCTCCTCTTCTTCCTCTTCTTCCACCTCCTCCTCCTCCTCTTCCTCTTTACACTATCCGCTCTCCTCACAGGCCAGAATGGCCGAAGGCCCTCCTGTCAGGGTGGTGCTGTTAGTGCACGGCTGTGAGAACCCTGGGATGAGTACGTCATAGGTGTCTTGAGCCTCCTGCATGGCACTGGAGACAGGAGGAGGACAGACATACACACACCCTCTCACCTTGAACCTTGGCAGACTTGTTCCCCAGGCCACTGCAGGGCAGGCCAGACTAGGTGGACCAGAGTTAAGCCCTGTGTGTGCTGGGTCATTCGGAACGTACACGTGCATGTGGTGTGCATGTTTGCATGAGTGTGTGTGCATGAGTGTGTGTGCATGTGTATGGGCATGCCTGTGCGTGTGTCTATGCGTGTGTGTGTGTGTGTGTGTGCACGCGGTTGGGCAACCCCCTGCCAGACTGGGACTGACCAGCTTGGCCACTCACGCATGGGCTGCCAGGGCCCTCCGACTGCTCAGGAAAGCACATAGTTCCTGTCCTCCTTGTCTCCACTGCTAGTCTGTAGCCCGCTGCTGCAGGTGCCTTGTGGGGTTGGGGTATTATTGCTGAGTATTAGGGTGTTAGAGCAATGAGGATGTGCTGCTGGACTCAGCAGGAGCTGGGGTGGGAGACTGGATCGCAACAGGTGTGGGACCTCCTCTCTGGGGTTGTGGACTATCTTGCTCTGACTCAGGCTTGATTCACCAGTCTCAGTGCCCCGTGAGTGTTGCTGAGGTCCCACAGTGTGACAGTTCTGTGGGGTTCTTGCAGTTGGGAGGATTCCTTGGGGCCATGTGGAAGCTCTGGAGGGGTCTGGGGTGACCCTAAAGTTCTGGGGATTTGCCGACCTCCTGTAGGCAATCTGGATATTGGGGGGTCCATAGCATATTTCTGAGGTCCTTAGGGATTCTGCTGGCCTTCTCTGGGCTTTGCTCTTTGCCCTGGGAGGATCTGATGACTACAGACAGCCGAGAGCATGCATGTGGCCTCCATTCCTGGACACAAACATTCCTCAGGTTTAATCAACTTGAACAAAAACACAAGGAGGAAGGAAGCCCTGTATCAAGGCTTCACAAGCCAGCTGCGGCCTGTGGACAGGCACCCCATGCCAGGCCCAGATGGCAGATGACCTTCACTGACTGAGTGCAGAAGACCTGAGGACTTCTCCTTCCCATGGGGGTAGGCCTTAGCACCCTATCCATGCCCAGCGGGAACTCCACTGGCCAGGGATGCTCCAGGGACATTGGCATCTCCCTTCTCAGAGTGCTCCAGGCCTCATGCTGGCCCTGCCAGAGGGATGCCCTGCCCTTCTCCCTTCCTGCCTCTCCCACACTGCATCGCTGCTCTCTTGAGATGCTTATTCATTCTTGCTATTCTTCATTCATGCTATTTACTATTCCTGGCCCCCTATGCCTCTGGGCCCTGCTGTGCACTCTCGTCCAAGAACCTTCAAGATGGGCCAAGCCTTATCCTCACTCCCTCCTCTGAGCCTCTGCAGGTGTCCCCAGGAGTCCCTGCTCTCCAGCCTTGCACTGGTAGCACAGCTGCTTCTTAGGGCCCTGCTGCCCAGGCGTTTGGTGAAGTTCCCCAGAGGTGCGGCTGTACCATCCTCTCTACAGCTCCTCTATGCCAGCTGGCTCCTTCCTGACTCCCTTGAACCAGTCTGCCACTTGCAGATAGGTACCTCAGGCTCAACAACTGGGGTCTGTTTCCCAGCTGGAGCTGCATGGCTACCGGCACCCATAGGTCTTCACCTGGGCTGGTCCCTGCTCCCACAGAGGGGGTGGAACTGGGGGCAGTGGGGCAGGCAGAGAGCAGTGGGCACGTGGGCAGCCTGGCCAACTCAGTGGCTTTGATCTGCTTGCTACGACTGGGGCTGGTGTGCTGCTGGCTCTGCATTCTTGAGCTGTGAAGTCACTGAGGGAGGATAGGGAGAGAGACAGTTTGTGGGGTGCCCACAATAGAAGAATCTGGGGGCTGAAATCCCTCCTCTTGAGAGGTGGGGTCAAGACCAAGAAAGGGGAGGGACTCACAGGGCCCGGGGCCAGCCTAGGGCTCAGACTCAGACAGTATCCATAGAAAGTGCTTTTCACAGAACAAGTTTGGTACAGAGAAGGGAGGCATTGTGCCTGGGGGTTCTTCTGCTCTGGCTGCACCCCTAAGGTTGAAGGGTCCTCTTCCTCTCTCCTCCCTCTATCTCTCTATCTTTCCTCCCCTCCAGATACAAACCAAACCTCCCCGAAGCAGCCTTCCCTGCACACCTATCTGGAAGTCAGCTCCAACTCTACCTCTCTCTTCTCCCCACTGTATGTCTCTCTCAGCAATTGGACGTGGGTTTGTCCCCTCCACACCACTGCCTGTTCAGTGCCCCCAAGGTGCAGGGCTTGCCCTCTGCTGCCACGGCAGCAGCTTTTCCTGGCATGGAAGATAGATTTGTTGAATGGATGAAGACAGGGTTGTGCAGGGCAGGGTTCTGATGGGGTCTGGGGCAGAAATTCTCAACCCTGGCAGCTCTGCTTGTGTAGGAAGTGAGCTTCCCAGCAAGGATGAGGCTCCAGCTGTTGGGGTCTTGCAAGGAGGATTACCTGGGACCCCTGAGTGGTAAAAAGCATGGGGGCTCCGGTGATGGAGGAGAGGGTTCTAAAAAGCCTGGTTGGCTGGTGGCATTGCCCTACAGGACAGGCCTATTGACAGATGAATGTCACCAAAACACAAGAGGCCTTTGCCAAACTCAATTTCCAAAGGTCCTCTGACCCCAGCACAGGCCCTGTGCTCACAGGAAGGAGAGGCAGAGTTCATCTGCATGTGGGCCCAAGCCTGGGGGCAGCTTTCACCCTCGACTTTGTGTGAGCTCCTGTATTGTTGTAAAACTCAGGCTCCTTTGGAGTGGGAGAGCTGATTTCTCTGCAGGTCAGGAGGGTGGACACTTTAGGCTCTGGAATTCACTTGGCACTCAGGGTGCCCCCTCTCAAAAGTGTACACCTCCTAGCCCTGGGGCACATAGTGGGCTCACTTTAGGTATGTGCTCATAGTAGGCGCTCCATTTTTGTGAAAGAAGGGACAGATGCATGTTGCAGCCTCCAGCCCTGATATGTGGCTGAGAACTTTCTCTGCCTCTCCTGTCCCTTCAGGGGGTGGCCAAAAGGTCCAGGTACCCCAGGAGGAGGGATGAGGAACCCAGACCCGGCAGGAGGATCAGCAGGAGGCGGGGTGCTGCTTGCCTGCCTGTAGGTCTGGTTCACATTTAAAGGACTCATTTCCGCCTACGGGAGTGAGTTATCTTCTTGTGAAATCAAGCTGTAGGAACAAAAAGGTTCCACCAGTGAGACGCATGTGGCCTCCTTCCTGGAAATGCCAGGAGTCGGCTCAGCTTGCCTCTCTCTATGGGCTGCTGTTATCCCCTACTCTGCTGATGTAGGCAGAGGTGCAGGGGTGCTGGGGCAGGTGCCGAGGGCAGGTACGTGAGCCCCGTGGACAGCTGCCGCTCCTCCTGGCCATACCCAGCAGGGATCCTCCTTGGGGGCTTTACCAAAGATGATGGTGTAGGCCTGTCACCAAGGTTCCAGGGGTCAGGACAGGGGGGAGGGGGGCTGGGAAGGGTCTCCAGGGACAATGGGCTAAAGGTGGGGGCTGGACCCCAGAGCAGGAGGGGTGGGAGCCCAGCTGGGAGGGCCCGACTGGGCAGACGGAGTGGAGCCACCCGCAGCCCGCCCACCCTTTCATCTCCACAGCTCTTTCCTCTCCAGTCCTGTCCTCCCTTTGCTGTGCCTGTGGGATTATCTGTGGGATGGGAGGGGAAGGAATAGGGTCTCTGGGGGCCCGTGCACCATGCTCTGCACTGGGAACGTCTTTGCAAATGGTCCTCTGAGCAAAGGCTTCCTGGCAGCTGTTTCGACAGCCAGATAGGTGCTACAGCCAGAACTCAGGGACCCCAAGGGGGGCATTCAGATAACTCTCTTCAGGCTGGGCAGGATTGGGCAGGAAGGGCCAGGAGGGGCCAGGAGGGGCCAGGAGGGGCCAGGAGGGGCCAGGAGAGGCTCTTCTCCTCCTCCCTTGCCAGCCTTCCCAGGCCTGCTGTCCCAGGCCGTGTTTTCCCAGAAAGCCAAAAGCAAGAAAGTAACCTTTAGGATTAAAAAGAAATCTCTCTTTGTTTGGGATTTTTCTTTTTCTTTTTTTTTTTTTAAGCCTCTTTTCACATTTTAGTGGCTTTGATTTTCCTTCTCTTGTCTGGGGGTCAAAGGAGAAAGGCCCAAGAATGTCCTTATTCCAAGCATCAGAGAACCAGACCTCTTTCGGGGATGAAGATGACTACAACAGCTGGTACATTAACGAGCCCCCGGTGGGCAAGGAGCTCCAGACAGAGGGGTGAGTGTGGCAGCCCCACTCTGACAGCCATCAGAGTGGGATCTGGGACTCAGACCTGGGACAGGACTGGCTCTACTATTCCTTTGCTATGTGAGCCTAGACAAGCCACAGCCTCTCTGGGCTTCAGTCTGCATCTGGTTCTTAACAGCTCCAGTTCTGCTGTCAAAATGCTTTAGGGGCAAGTTTGGGGTGCTCTTGGTCATCTGACTTGCAGTCAATGAGGGAGGAACTTGGTGAGGGGCCTGGAAGAGGTTCCTGTAATGACATTTAGGGGATGGCATTTACGGGTGCTGGGTTTTCTGGGCCTGCTGGGAGGGTGGAGGGGCACAGAACTGGGCAAAAGGAGGGTCTTGGGGTGGATTCCTGGGCAAACCCTGCCACTCTGTTGTCTTTGGACAGTTCAGTCTCGGGAGGGTGGATGAACAGGTCCTGTTTCTGTAGAAGGGGTTTGGGGCCAGGGGAGGGTGGCGAAGGAGGCAGGCAGCCAGTTCACCCTGGGATGGCCTGAGGATTCCTGGCCCAGGTCCTTTCCATCATGGTTCCATCTGGGCACCCTGGTGGAGGAGCTGGGCCTTTCTCTGCCCCTTGCCTGTTTCCAAGGCTGTCCAGCTATGGGAGATCAGGAGCCAAGTTTGCCCCTGTTGACTCTGGCTCTGTCCCCTGCTTCACTGCTCTGCCTGAGGGTTGGGGGGGTGCTGAAAAGGTGAGACTCTGTGTGTGTGTGTGTGTGTGTGTGTGTGCGCGCGCGCGCACGCGCATGCATGCACACACACTGAGCCACATGTGTGCACATCTGTTTTCCATTAAAACTTGAAACTAGAGAAGGAAAAAAAGCTTGTGTACCTTCCCAAGGCTAGGGCTGTAGCCTGCCCAGGCCTGGGTCACCCAGCAGGGGCAGAGGCCCCACCCATGCCTGGGGAAAGCACTGTCATTTGGAGAACTTGGGGTTCTGACCACCTGGAAAACAGCTCAACTGTCAGGGTGCATGCCATTCCCTTCCCCAGCTGTCTCCAAGAGTATTGGGTAGCCTGTGTCTTTGTCGTGTGTGTGTGTATACATGTGTACATACATGTGTACAGGCTGGGGAGGGAGGGGCCTGGAGAGGCCTGGGAGCCCCTGGAGAACTGAGAGCCTGGTCTGGCTGAGCCCTCATCAGAATCTGTGTCCTTGGGAGGGCCAGGGCCTGGGCACCATCTGAGGGCCAGGTACCTGCAGCCAGCTCTGTGGCCAGAGATATCATCTGCAAATAAAATTGGGGGACTAGGGGGACCTGGGAGCTAGGGGGTGATGGAGGTGCGGCCCCTCATATGGGTAGTAACTGGAATTTTCAGCCCCCTTCTCCCACCATGGGACACAGTACCCACAGGTAAGGAGGGTGCTTTGAGTCTATTTAGTAAAACCAAGAAGAGATACTTGCTAAACCTCCTACACACCCCTACCCCAAATGGGGAGCAGGAAGCTGGGACAGCAGGGGAATTCCAAGGCTGTGAACTTGAGCTCACCTCTCCCCCTGTGAGTCAGATACCTCGGGATGTGGTATGTCAAGGCTGTGAAGGATTCCACGTAGTGGGCCACATGTCCAGCTGGAGCTGGGGCTGGTAGACACTGGTGCCTGTGGTTTGGGTGGGCTCAGATGCAGAAACCTCCCAAATGGTTGGACATGGTCTTGCTTGGACACCCTAATGCTCCCAGGGGCCTGTATCTCCTATAACCTGGCCCAGCTCCAGGAACCTGGTCCCAGGCATCCTGCCTCCCACCTGCCTCTCATCTCCACCTCTTCCTCATGGCTTTCTTTCCTTTTCTTTGCCCAGACAGATGCCAACCCTAGCCCATGCTCAAATCAAAATTTAATCCTTCTTCCAGGCATCCTTTACCTCTGCCTATGCCTCTCCTGGGATGGAGCCTGCCTTCACTCCCTGTGGGAATGTCCCTGCTTGTCCCATGACACAAAACAGAATCCATACATGGTCACCCAAACATGGGCTCATGGGTGAACACACGGAGCTGAGGGTCAGACAGAGCCATCAGGGCCCTGCTCATTGTGTGGCGTCTGATTTGGGGCAGAGGCTTTGGGGAAATGGCCCAGCTGCTCTAGGGACAGGTGCTGGGTCCCTACCTGGCTGATAAGGGAGGACAGGACTGAGAAAGCCCTGAGGGGCTCTCAGAAGGTGAGTTTCTCCATTCTTGGGGAGCCAGATGCACGAAGGACATCTGCTCTCAGAGTCCTTCAATAGGGAATGCATACCAGGACAAAGCAGGCGGTGAATCCAAAGGGGGTTTGTGGGACCTTTGTCCATAGGGAGCACTGAACAGGGTCAACTTGGTCTTCTTGGAGGGGAGATAAAGTGGCCCTGAAGGACAGGGTTATTAGTTGAGCTAGACAAGATACTTTGGCCAGGCTGGCTTCCCCAGGAGCCTGTGGTCCTCAGCCCTAAACCCAGTGCCCTAGCATTTAGTACAGGAAGAACTGAAACCTGGGCCGCTGTGTGGGAGAGGGCAGAAGGTTGAGGGAAGTACCAGGTGGACACAGCCTCGGCCTCAGACCCAGCAGCACTCCAAGCCCCCAGGCTGAGCCAGCCTTCCTTTGCCCACAGGGAAGTGCCCTCCTGCCAGCCCAGTGTGCCACCTTCCCTGTGCCATGCCTGTCTGGCTGTGTTGTCGGTGAGTCCAACTGGCCTGCTATGTGTGCCTACCTGCGCATGGGGACTGGTGCAGGGGTTGCCATCCTAGGAATGGGTATTGGGGCTGGTCCCAGGTGGGGAATCCTTGCTGGGTGCAGGCCAAATCCAGGGTGGCATCCCAAGATGGCACAGCATGGGCACTTGGTAGGTATTGGGTACTTTGGGACAGACTAGGACCAAGGCCTCGGGCTTAGGTCCCAGGGGAGGCCTGAGTCCCCCGATCTCTTCTGCCCTCTCCTTCTAGATGCTCGTCCTGCTGCTGCTGTCCTGGCTGCTGTTGCATCGACGGCTCCAGCCCGGACATGGGCGAGGAGGGCCTGCTCTGCCCAGGTTGGTGCTGGGCTTGGGTGCCCTTGCTCAGGGCCCTCTGGGAGATGGGGGGGCATGTTGGGCATTAGTAGCCAGCTCTGAGTCAGTGACACCCCACTTCTGATTTGGGGATCTCCCCACCCCCACCAAGATCTGTTGTAGTCTGGAGCCCCAGGGTGGGAAGGGGACCTGCTCAGGAGCAGTTGAGACCTGACTGAGCTCTCAAGCTGCCCTCAGTAGTCCCGCTGCCTGCCATAACCACTACCGGGTGCTGTGTGACCCTCCTATCCCTGAGGGTGTCTGGGGACCCTGCCTGACTCAGGAGGAAGGGACTGACCTCCTCTGCAGCGGAACTTTCTCTTGTAGCTGTATCACCTCACAGTTCAGGGCAGGCAACCCCAGGGACCAGGGTTGGGGGAGGTGGTAGCAGAGGAGCCAGAGTGTAGATCAGGTTGGGTTGTGTGTGAACCTGGTAGGGGGTCCCTGGCTGAGCAGGGAACCGGGGAAGAGCTGGACAAGAGCCATGGAGGCTGGGGTCAAAGCTAGGGCAGCCGTGTGTGCTGTCTGCTGGGCCGGGGCTCCGCCCAGGCGGGGTGGTGGCTGTTACACAAGGGTGTTGTGGCTCCCAGCGCTCTGAAGCCCTGCCAGCCCACACAGACAGCAGGGTGATGTGGAGGCCGTGTTTCCTGGAGCTTCCTGGCGGTGCAGGGAGCAGGGCCGCTGCCGGGGCTTGTTCCTGCGGGGTGCACGTTGTTATCCTTTGCCACACACAGCCCAAGGGCAGCCAGGAGACGAAGCCCTACACGAACACCCCAGATGAGTGGATGAGGGACGGGCAGGTGCTCTCCGGATCCCCAGTTCCTGGACACAGCCCGGGGGTGATCCAGGTGCTGGGCTTCATGACTCCCTCCTGACCTGTTCCCATCTCTGTGCCAGCCCTGTGGATTTCCTGGCTGGGCACAGACCTTGGGCCGTGCCTGCTGCTGTCTTCATGGTCCTCTTCAGCGCCCTGTGCCTTCTACTGCCCAGCGAAGACCCACTGCCCTTCCTGCCCCTCACCTATACACCTGGCCCAGGTACACTGTGCAGTGGCAGCCTGGAGCTGGGGGCTGGGGTGGGCTCAAGATGGTGATGATAGGAAAAACTGCCCTGCCGCACGACCTCCAGAGGTGTGGATAGCACCTTGTTTTACAGTGGAGGAAACCAGAAGCCAGAGAGAAAACAGCCATAAATAGCAGCTGAGATGGAGTCCTTCGGTTGCCACTGTGCTAAGTGCTGTCTATAGAGTTCTTCCTGTTCTTGATAACACACTGACCAAGGGGTGTGGATGAAGGAGACAGGAGAGAGACCCCTCCAGCGTGTGTCTCCTGCCCATTTTACTTCCTAGGGCCCTGGAAGATGCTGGCCCTGTTCTACTACCCCGTTCTGTACTACCCTTTGGCTGCCTGTGCCACAGCCAGGCACAGAGTTGCATACCTGCTGGGGAGCGTGCTGTCCTGGGCCCATTTGGGCGTCCATGTCTGGCAGGGAGCTGAGTGTCCCCAGGCACCCAAGGTAAACCATTGACTCACAGTGGTCCAGGGAGAGGGGTGCACACAGCAGCCTGCTCGGACCTGCATGGCTGCTTTTATCTCTGTTTATATGCCAGACTTCTCCCTTATGCATGGATTCCATGCCTCTAGGCATAGGCAGTGCCAACTTGGCTCTTCTAGGGGTGAGGCAGGGGACAAGGCAGCTGGGAGGGGGCTGAGGGGAGGAAGAGGAAGTTTGTGATCCTCATCACTGATCTCAGCCTCCCTTGGTCAGGATGGAATAGGAAGGGAAGGAAAAGGAAGGGAAGAGGAAGGAAGGGGAGGGGAGTGGGAGGAGGAGAGGAAGGGCAAAGTAGGAGAGGGGAGGGGAGGAGAGAAGAGGGGAGCGAGGGGGAGGGGAGGAAGAGAGGAAGGGAAGACTAGGGGAGAGAAGGGGAGGAGAGGAGAGGAGAGGAGAGGAGTCAGAGGGGTTCAGAGGAGAATCCAGAAAACCAGTGCTGAGTCAGGGAGGGGTTCAGAGGAGAATCCAGAGCCCCAGAACTCGATGCTCAGTTGCAAACTATACCTACACAGAATTAGGCCGCCATCTACTTTCTGGGATACCTGGGACCTAACATACTAGGAAAGAAACCTGAGTGATGGAGCCTAGAAATAGGAGTCGAGTTGTGTAGCTACCTCCCTTTGGCTCTGTCAGGCCTATGGGCATCAAGGGAAGGGGCTGTGGGTGCTCATGGCGGGGGGAAGGGGCAGAGAACCACAAGATCCCCATGGCTCTCCTATCCATCCTGGGGTCCTTGGGGATGAGGTAGGAAGGGAAGTGGATTCGGCACTGGTTGGAGAAGAAGGCTAGAGGCAATTGTCTGTCTGCCCATCCAGATCTACAAATACTACTCCCTCTTGGCTTCCCTGCCTCTCCTGCTGGGCCTCGGCTTCCTGAGCCTCTGGTACCCAGTGCAGCTGGTGCAGAGCTTCAGCCACAGAACAAGCGCAGGCTCTGAGGTAAAGGGACAGCTGGGGGGGGATGTCTGTTGCCTGCACACAGCCATGATGAGCTGCTGGGTGACCTCTGAGTCCCCCCCACCTCAGGCAGAGCTGCGTCCTGACCCAGCCCTAGGTCGAAGGCAGCTGGGTAATGGCAGGTGCAGGGGAGGCACAGGAAGGCTTCTCAGAGGAGGTGGACTTTAGCAGTAGCCTGAAGGATAGGAGGATCTAGAACAGGAGAGGATAGGAGGCAAGCGTGCAGGTGCGGGACAGTGTCACAAAGGGCAGAGAGAGCTGTGCATCTGTTCTGTCCACGCCCACACTGGTGCCACTGGGCACAGCATAGCACAGACTAGATACTCAGCAAGTATTTTTTTTTTAAGTAATGGTTTTTGAATCTTATTTTTTTAAAAATTTTATTTATTTATTTATGTGTGTGTGTGTGTGTGTGTGTGTGGCCAGCTCAGCCCACCAGGGGACGGGGCTGGCTGGCATGTGGTGCTGGGGGATTGAACTGCGGTCCCTGTGCTTTGCTAAGCTTGTTCTACGTAGGTGCTTTAGACCACTGAGCCATCTCACCAGCCCCCTCAGCAAGTATTTTTGAATCTGGGGATGAACGGATACATCATGGGGAGAAAGGATTGTGACTATTTTGTTGTTGTTGTTGTTTGAGATAAGGTTTCACTATGCAACCCAGCCTGGCCCTGAAGTCCTGGCATCCTCCAGACTCTGCCTCCTGAGTGCAGGGATTACAGGCCATGCCATCATGCCCAGCTGAGAGAGGATTTGAAAGATATTGAAGAGGTGTTTTTGTTTTTTTTTTTTTGTACCAGGAATTGAATTCATGACCTTGCACTTGCCAAACACGTGCTGTGCCACTGAGCTCTATCCCTGGCTTATACTATATTTTTATAGGGTGCCCTGTTGGCCCTGACACTCAGAGCTGAGTAACCCAGCCTGGATGCTGGAGCTTCCAGGGCAATGATCAGAGCAACAGACCTGGATATTGTCCCCAGAAAGGCACCATGGGAAATGTGAACACAGCCCAGTGGGTTCCTGCTGGCAGGGAGGGTGAGTGAGCCTCCCCAGAGGCCCTCAAAGGGTAGAGGGGTGACAAGAAAAGCTGGGGACACAGGGCCTGAGGACCCAAATACTGAGTGCCACCTTTCCTGCCCTCCTGTCACTCATGCTCCTCTAAGGTGTCCCCCACTTTCTTTCTTTCTCTTTCTTTCTTTCTTTCTTTCTTTCTTTCTTTCTTTCTTTCTTTCTTTCTTTCTTTCTATACCAGGAATTGAACTCATGCCCTTGTGCATGTGACAGATGCTGCTCCACTGAGCTATATCCCTGGCCCTTCCCTGCAGTATCATAGAGGGCTCAGCAGAGGGGTACAGCTTTCCTGGACATGGATCTGCCATGTGCTGGGCTGGTCACTGCCTCCAGGGACCCTACCCAGGGTCCCCGCCTCACTTCTCCTCCTGAAAGGGATAAACACTGGACGTGCTCAAAGAGATCTAATCCACAAAGGACCTGGCCAAGCTCAGCTGACCCACTTCATCCAGGGCCAGGGTTTCCATGGCAACGACTGACCAGGGCCTACATTCTTGGGATCTCAGCTTAGGCACTGGCCCAAAGCCTCTGCCACTTTGCAGGAGACATGAGGCTCTGAATGTGCCTCCGGCAAATATGGTCATCCTTGTGATCTCTCTGAGTCATAGTGGGAGAGGCCAGGGCCCTGCCTTGGAACACCCTGTGCTATGTCCTGGTCAGCAGTGTACTGGGGGGCCTGGGTTCCTCAGATCCTGTCTCGGGAAGAAGGGTCCAGAAGGTGGGACTGAAGCAGGATGAGGCTGAGACTGTATTGGCAGGATGTCCCAGCCTGGGGCTCTCAGAACAAACAGGCTACCGAGTCTCAGATGTATGGGAGAGAACAGAGCAGCATCGCCAAGTGCGGGCCCTGTTGCTGTAGGTCAACTGTCAGCCTTGCACATCTCCAACCTCGTATGGCCAGGAGGTCCCCATGGAGACCTGCTTGCTGTCCCCACTTGTGTCCAGAGCCTGGGGGCAGCTCAGGAAGACCCAACCCTATTTGTCCCCAGGGGCTGTGGAGCAGTGACTCTGAGGAATACCTGAGAAGCCTCCTGTGCCGGAAGCAGCCAGGAGGCCGGTGAGGCTCAGGAACACGAGGGAGGCTGTGGTGGTGGCCAGGTGGGGAGAGATGAGGAGTGGCTTGGTCAGCGCAGGGGCTTCTCCTATGACCCCAGCTGCCTGGTCTTCCTGCAGCTCCTGCCACTCTGCCAAGCAGAGCTTCCTGTCCCGGGCCTGGGACTGCTCCCGACGCTGCCTCTACACCCCACAGCCGGGTATGTGTCCTTTGTCACCAGGAATGACAATTGTCAGCTTGGAATAGTGGGAGCCCTGGACCTGGTCCTGGTGGCCTAGCCTTCTGGCGTTTCCCCAGGCCCCTTGGAAGGGTGGGCTGTGCCTGATGCTACTCCTCACCACACCCCTTTCTTTGGGGACCCCAGGATTCCGCCTTCCCTTGAAGCTGGTGATCTCAGCCACCCTGACAGGGACTGCCACTTACCAGGTATGTCCTACAACCCCTGGTGCTGTCCACCTCTGAGTCCCTGCCTGTGGCCCTCAAGCCTGAAATAGCTCTGACCCAACTCAGATGACAGCAGATCAATGATAGACTATGGACAGATAGACGACAGGTAGGTGACAGATAGTTGGAGGGCAGCTCTGCAAGGCCCTGTCCAGCCCTCCAGGGTAATGCTGTCTCTGTCTACATTGTGTGGCTTTGGGGCCTGGGGACACAATGCATACAGGATGCCCTGAGAGCCACAGGCTGTGGCTGTGCTGCTTCGGCACAGGACATTCTCTGGCTCCCGTAGGTGGCCCTGCTGCTGCTGGCAAGTGTGGTGCCCACTCTGCAGAAGGTGCGGGCAGACATTACCACAGACGTATCCTACTTGCTGACTGGCTTTGGGGTCGTGCTGTCCGAGGACAAACAGGAGGTGGTGGAGCTGGTGCGGCACCATCTGTGGGCACTGGAAGGTGAGACCCCCCCAGGGTCTCCAGGGACTGTGATGGGCACAGGAGTGGGGGACTGGGTCCCTTGCCATGGGAGCTGAATCCCCTTGGGCACCATCCTCCCCTCCCTGAGCTCTGCTGTTCCATCATCACTGGAGCAGCTGGGGCTTCCAGCCCAGGTTCCTGGGCCCTGAGGCACCATGTCTGGGCAGCCCCCACCCCTTGTCACCTTCAGGGCTGTTTCCACCCCAGGCCTAGTGTTTGTGACCACTGTTCCAGGTGGGTCCACAGAGGAGATTGTGGCCATGGGGGCTGAGGCTGAGGAGGAGACAAGACAGTGACGAGCGGGGGTAGGGCACTGTGATGGACCCGCTGGTCTGGGATGTGTTGTGAAGGGCGGCAAGTACTTTCCTCCCCTCGTTGGCCTCTGCTGGCTTGAGGGTCCTCACTCTGGCTGGGCTTAGTGAAGGGATGGAGCTGCAGTCAGACTGGGCTTGGGTCCTTGGATCTGCTCTTAGCACAAGGAGCAGATGTCTTAGGCCTACCTCTACTTTCCCTACCACTAGTCAGGCATGGTGATGCACACCTATAATCCTAGCACTTGGGAGACTGAGGCAGGAGGATCACCACGAGTTTGAGGCTGCCCAGGCTATATAGTGAGACCCTGTCTCACTGAAGCTGAAACAGCTCCCTTATCCTGGAGGTCCCAATGGCTGTAGGAAAGCAGCTCCAGCCACCAAGAGGCCCAGAGTGGGCAGAATGAGGATCAGAGAGGCAGCAGGGAGTGGGAAGGTGCTAGCGTTTGCAGCCGATGGAGGGAGAGAGAAGCAGGAGGTGGGCAGATGGTGACCAAAGGCCAGGCCTGTGACTCAGAGGCCTTGTGAGCCTGTCACCCACCACTTTGCTCCCTGGGGAGGGTTGGCCAGTGTAGGCACCATGGGGTCCGATGACAGCCTTGTCCTGGGACACAGACAGTAGGGGCACTGTGTGAGCACATGGGCACTTGGTGACTATAGGAGATGGTGCCTCTGGGGGTCATGCAGCTGGGATGGGGTGGAGTCAGATTTAGGCTGGGACCCCTCCCTGGGAATTGTAGCAGTGAGGTGCGTGGCCTCAGAACCTCCTATGGCCTATGGCTGGGGAGGCAGTGCCCGAGGCTCTGTGACCCCAGCTCCACCTATCCCCCTGCAGTGTGCTATGTCTCCGCCCTGACCCTGTCCTGCTTATGCACCATCCTGCTGTTGGTCCGCTCACTGGCCACACACAGGTGAGAGGCCAGGCCGGGACCCTGGGGGCCCAGGGAAGCCCTGGGTTAAACAGGGCAGCCAGCATCCACCTGTTAGGAATGAGACCCTGTCTGCCTTGCTTTCTGTGTTGGTGGCCATGTGTCACCCTCATTGCCACTGCCAGTCCCTGCTGTTCTTGTCTGACTTAGATTGAGCCCTTCACCTGCCTTTGTCTCCCCTTGTCATACCTCCAACTCCAGGCTGAGTGGGTGGCCTTCTCTTCCAGGCTCTTGTGGTCCTGACTGTCCCTGCAGGTAGCTGTGGTGGCAGTTAGACCTGCAGTGTGCCCACAGGCTGGGCTGGGGAAAGAGTAGGGAGAGTGTACCAACCCTGAGGCTCCTGCCATCCTCACCCCAGGGCCAACCTTCAAGCTCTGTACCGAGGGGCCACGCTGGACCTAGGTCCCCCAGCACGGAGCATTCACCCATCCCGAAAAGCCATATTCTGCTGGATGAGCTTCTGTGCCTACCAGGCTGCCTTCACCTGCTTTGGTGAGCTCCTTACCTAGCACCCCAAGGTGCCTGCCCTCCCAATGAAGTGGGGTGCAGGAGCCGTCAAGGAAAGGGGTCCCTGCATGTGGCCCCAGTGCTGGCTGCTCCTAGGTTTGAGTACATGGGTGGCATATGTCTGGAGGAGGGGTGTATTCAGTGGTGGCATATTCCTGATCCTGCAAGATGCTGAGGCTCCCATCGCTGGGAGTATGTAAGCAGACAGGCACTTGCTGGGGACTATAAAGAGGGCCCTACCTTGAAAGAGTTGGAATTGGGGACTTTGGGGGAGCTTCCCAGTGCAGTTTGTGATCATCCCTTTGGGCACTGCACTGTTGTAGGAGAGGCTGGGGCAGCACGTAGTCCAGGGCCCCATGTCCTTCTTGTCAGTGCCTCTGTGTTATCCTTGCTGGGCAGAAGGAGAAGGGTGGTAAGGAGCAGAGGCCTCACGGGGGCCTGAAAGCAGGGCTCTCTCATGCCTACAAGCCCTTTGCCCCGTGTCCCATTGAGCAGGGGCCTGGCTATTGCCATCAACAGCTCCTGCCATCTGCCCAGTTTGACTCACAGGAAGAAGGCCACTGATTTCCAAGGGGTGCTCATCTCTGAGGGTACAGGAGCATATACAAGAGATGACCTTTGCAAGTGCTTTGGTTTTCTAAGCACTGCCCCAGACCCGATGTCCCTTGATCCCTTTTCACAGAGGGGGAAACAGGCTGGGAGAGTTAGTCTAAACTGTGCAAGGTGGCACCACTAGGCAGTGGCAGAGCAGGGCCCCAAAGCTCTGAATTTCTGGGACTAGGGGGCAGGGATCAGCTCATTTATCTGTCCCCTACTGCTCCCATCCCCCAGGATTCCTGATACAACAAATTGTCTTCTTCCTGGGGACCACGATCCTCACCTTCCTGGTGTTCATGCCTGTGCTTCACGGCAAAAACCTCCTGCTCCTGCGGTCCCTGGAGTCTTCCTGGTGAGGGGACAGGGTGGGAGAATGGAGATCCTACCCCAGGGGCCACTAACTGCAGCTGCCCCTGCCTGCCTGCAGGCCCTTCTGGCTCATCTTGGTCCTGGCTGGGGCTCTGCAGAATGCAGCAGCCCGTTGGGTTTTCCTGGATACTCAGCATGGGCACCCTGAGGTGACCAACAGGTAAGCGGCCCTGGGCTTGTGGTCCCCCGGGCTCCTGGTCTCTTCTTCAGTGTCTCTTTCCACCCCTTTGTTCCTCCACTGCCCTCACAACCCATCTCTGTCAGGGTCCTGGTGGGTAGAAGAGAGGGCTGCCCTCCCAGGAGGGAAGGGTCAGTGGCCAAGCCTACATTTTTCTTTTCATTTTTGCAGGATACAGAATGAAACGGGAGGGAACCCAGGGCCTTTGCCCTGAGCTATGCCCCTAACCTGGCCCCTGTCCTCTCCCCTGTGTAGGAAAGAGGTTCAAATGGAAACACTGGGGAACACAGGCCTCAGGAGAAATTTGGGTTGGGGACCTAGAGGAGGGAGGTGGGAGATGCCATGGCCAGAGCGAGCCCCAGGTGGATACAGCCTTCACTCTTGTCCTTGCCACTAGAAGCTCTGTAGCCTCAGCTAAGTCCCTTAGGCTTCTGAGTCTCAGTTTCTCCTTTCCTAGAATGGTGGATAGAGAGAGGGAGAGAAACCCTAACTTAGAGTGGGATATACAGAAGGTGTGCTTGATAAACAGCAGACGCTCAATACATGCACAGCCACATGGGCATGTGGTTTTCACACTGGTTGAGAAAGCCCTGCCTCAGGCTCCTCTCCCTACCCCCAGGCGAGTGCTCTACGCAGCCACCTTTCTTCTCTTCCCTATCAATGTGCTGGTGGGTGCGGTGGTGGCCACCTGGAGAGTGCTGCTGTCTGCCCTCTACAACATGGTCCACCTCAGCCAGATGGACTTCAGCCTGCTGCCCCCAAGAGCTGCCACTCTGGACCCTGGTAAGGTCCTTGGTGAGGGCTGGGGCTAGGGGTCACTCTGACCTCAGAGCTGATGTGGCCAGTGCAGCAGGTGGGCTGCAGGTGCATGTGTCATGTGCCCAGAGTGCCTACGTGCTCGGACAAAGGGTGCACACACAGTCCCTGGGTGTGTGTGCTGGGGTTTCTGTGCCACTCCTGCCCTGGCACTGGCACCTCTGCTCTGCTGCAGCCTACGACACATATCAAAACTTCCTGAAGCTGGAGGTCAGCGAGTCACACCCCGCCGTGACAGCCTTCAGTGCCCTGCTCCTGGGAGCACGGAGGTCCCCAGCCCAGGCTCGATCCCCAGCAGCTGCCCAGAGCAGCCTCAAGCCAGGGGAGGAGGAAGAAGGTTTGTGGTCCTCTGGGGTCAGGTGACCCTGGACACTAAGCCAGCTCTTTCCTCCAGAGACCCCACCTCTCCCTGCGGGTGACTCCCCAGCTCTTCTCAAGCCCCATGCTTTTCCTGTGTCCTCTTTGGGCCTGGAGCTGGAGCCCAGGCTCCCTGCCGGGACTACGTGAGAACTTGTAAACTCTGCCCAAGTCTAGGATGGGGAAGGCTTGGCAGGGTGTTTGCAAAGTGACTCACAGACGGTTTTTCCCTCTCAGGGATGCAGTTGCTGCAGACAAAGGGTTCCATGGCCAAGGCGGCAGGGCTCCGTGCTGGCCGGAGCTGTGCCCGCTGGGGCATAGCCTACACCCTGCTGCATAACCCGGCCCTGAAGGCTGCCCGGAAGGCAGCCCTGGCTGGAGCCCAGGCCAGCAACGCCCGGCGCTGAGGGCCACCTGACCCTGCACCCCCTGGCTCTCCCGCCCCACCCCAGGTGGGTAGCCCCTCCTTTTAGCAGCCAGGCCAGCGATCCCATCCTGGGGATCATGGGTCCTGGGACCAGCGAGGGATGGGAGTGATTGGGGTTGGATGGCCCTAGGAGTACCAGCCCAGGTATTGAGGATGGGTGGGGCGCTCAGCTTTGGAACTGGCAGGATGGGGGCTATGTGCCTGTCTGTATCCCCTGCCCAGCAGGGACCCCTGAGGCCACTTGACAGGGCTGGTGATCGGGGTCAGAACAGCCCAGCCCCACCTTCCAGCCGAGCCTCAGCCATGGCTTCCCCCTTCTGTTTCCCCTCCCTACCCAGCCCTCCCCTCTCCTTCCTGGGGCTGGTGGATCCTCTCCTTGGGTCACCAAGGCAACCCAGGAGGAAGACCTGGGCTCCGGCCCCAACAGCAGAATCACAACTTGAACCAGGCTCTGTGCTGAGCTGCCTGCTCTTGGGACCCAGGTGCTTGTAGTTGCTTTGCCTGGGGGATGAGGAGAGAGCTGAGCGTGGTCCTGGTAATAAAGCTGTCCCCAAGAAGTTGTGTTCCTTATGGAGAGGGCACAGGGATGCCACTCACAGCAAATCCACAGGAATGCAAGGGGCTCGTGTGGGCAGGGGAGGCTGAGAGGCACCAAGCTGTTATCTTTTGGATGATGGAGATGGAGGACCCTGCCATGCCATTCCTGAGTAGGATGGGCTGGGCTGGGGGAAGAGGTGCTCCTGCTGGGGTGGGGAAAGGGGTGTCATAATGGCCAAAGACCCCGTGTGCATGTGTGTAGGGGGTGGTGAGACCGGTTGGGATCCCTCCTCTGTCAGGGGCTGGTAGAACTGGAGACCCTTGAAGAAGGGCGATGCTGTGCTGCAGTTCCCCAGGGCTGGAGCCACAGGGCAAGGGTGGCCCCGCACTGATCCGGATCACCAGACAGCGCCTTCCTGGCAACCAACAGGACCACAGGGAGAGGGGTGCACACTTGCCCTGTGCCCTTGCTGAGGACACAGGCAAGGAAGCATGACAAGCTTGCATTATGGGATGGTGGGCCTGGTTCACCCAGGGGCGGGGCTCACCCTAGAAGGCTACCTGGAAGAGCTGGTATGACTCTATCAAAGGAAGATCAAGGAAAGGGTGTCTCTAGGCTGAGGGAACTGTGTCGCTGAAAGATTGGGGGACAGTTGCAGAGCAGTATGGGAACACAGCCTGGGAGAGGCTGGCAAAGGGGCTCAGTTGGCCTTCTGGGGGGGGGGTCAGGCTTCATCCCAACAGCAGCAGTGTCACTAGTTCACTGGTGTGATATCCCCAACTGCCCTGACTCAAATTGGGGTCCCCTTCTCCAGGAGCTAGAGATACTGGGGTCCATGGAGTCCATCCCCATGGTGAATCCTGTCTCACTCTGTCATTTGATTTGAGCTAGCTCAAGCCCAGAAATAGGCAGTGACTTACCCAAGGCAGCACAGTGCATGAGAGCAGGCTCTGTCCTAGTGCAGATGTGGGGTCCTCCTGTATCCTGACTGGTGGCCCAACCCAGCCCCAAGTACACATTGATAGAAGATGAGGGAGAGGCCCTGGGCAGGACCTCCAGAGGGGGGAGGCCAGTGCCCTGGGTCACTGCTGCCCCTAAACTCTTCCGACTCCTGCTTGTACTTCACTGAGCTCAGCCACCAAGGACGCTTAGCTCAATAACACCCCACCCTTGTCTTGGAAGGGCAAATGGAGGGAGAAGGAGTCACTCTGGCCTGACACAGAGCCTCAGAGCTGATCTGCCCCTGTGTCCTCTTCTGAGAGCCCCTCAGATTCCCTCCAGCCTGTTCTCACATCCTCTGATGCTGCCTTCCCCCTACCCCCAGTGTCCCCCCTTCTGTACCTTCCCTCCCCACCTTCTTCCCAATTCCTAACATTTCTCCAGGAAGCAGGGCAGGGATAGGGGCTACAACCCAGCCAACCTCTGCCTGTTCCTAGGGCCATGTCTGGCATTGCTCAGGGTCCCTGGAGGCCCCAAAGAACCCCTGTAAGTATTGCCAGGATTCCACCTGCTGGTCCTCTGACAACTGTGACAGCTGAGCACCCCCCCACCCCATTTTCGATCCTATTCCTTGTTCCGGACTCCTCCATCCAGACACAACTCCAGGCAGACACAAGGAAGCATGAAAAATGTGGTTTATTCTTTGTCATCCCAGGTGGTCCCTCTGCAGGCCAGGCTGCATATACAAACTGGAGGGAAGAAAGGGCAGGTGGGCATCCAGGCCAGATGGCACTGGGAAGGAGAAGGGAGGAAAGGGAGGTCAGGCCTGTCCGGGATGAGTCAGAGGAGCTCTGTAGCCTGTGGTGTGGAGAGCACCAGTGGCCAGGGGAGAACAGGGACTGCATAGCCACCTCCTTGCCACCTTCCTTGGCTCCCACTGCCTACTCCTGGCTCTGCCCTACTGTCTAGCCCCCACTGCATGGCCCCCACTGTCAGCCCAGGACCCCAGTGACTTTGTTAGCAGCAATGGGCCCTAAGTTGTTTCTGGGACCCAGCTCCCCACCAGCCCCTCATTTTGAGCAGGTCTAGGAGCTGGGGCCTTGGGTGCCCAGAAGAGATTAGAAGGGAGGTAGGAGAATGTGAAGTCACCATTCAGAGTCCCTGGCACTTATGAGAAACAGACAGGGTCAGAGCCAGCCTCAGGCTGGGCTGTGGTTCAGCTAGAAGTGGGTGCTGAGGAGGAGCAGGATCTGGGCCAGCACCAGGATCAGGCCTGGACACCACTGCCCTGCAACCCTATTTCCCACCACAGCTGCCTTGGGGTTCCCATCAAGGGTGAAATAAATGATGACCACGTTGTCTTCGGGCCCGGATGGCTGTACCTCATTGTCAACTGTGTAGCAGCCCTTGCCCTCCACTGCCTTGCCATGGAACCTGCGGCCCAGTGCATCCTCACCACCCTCACCCATGGTGGCCAGTGCCACGTTCACTGAGCTCTTTGCGCTGCCCAACTCATTCGTGGCCAGGCAGCTGTAGGTGCCCTCCTCCAGCTTGCCAAAGTTGGGGATGAGCAGGCTGCCATTGGCGAAGGCCTGGAAGCGCGGCCAGCCCCCAGGCACTGCTGGGGCTCCAGGCAGGGCGCGGCCATCAGGGCCCACATTGGGGCTGGAGATCTCCACAGTGCCACCAGGGGTCTGGATGTTCCAGTGCAGCTGCGGGGCCGGCTGCCCATCCACGGCACAGTGCAGCACCAGCACAAAGCCTGGCCGCAGCTCAGCACCATCCTGGTTGGGCTGGTGGCTGAGATGCACAGAGGGTGCAGAGCAGGGTAGAGGTGGCAGGCGGCTCAGTGGGGTGCCCTTGAGCACGTGGGGTGATATGCAGGCCACATTGTCCTGCTCCGGAATGGACACAGCCGTGGCCAGAGCCCATGTCTTGAGCCACATGAGGCCACAGTTGCAGTCAAAGGGGTTGTCGTTGATCTGCAGGTGGGACAGTGCGGTAAGTGGTGCAAAGGTGCCCTCAGCCAGCGTGTGCAGGCGGTTGTGGTTGAGCTGCAGGGAGCGCAGGGCACGCAAGCTGCGGAAGGCATCACGTGGGATGAAGCTCAGCTCATTACTGTCCATCTTGAGCAGCTGCAGGGCACTGAGGTTGTGCAGGTCGCTCCAGGCGAAGTCTGATATGAGGTTGTGGCTGAGGTCCAGGCTCTTGAGGTGGCCCAGTGGGGCCAGAGCGCCCACAGCCACCTTGCGGATCTCGTTGTGTGCCAGCCACAGTGACTGCAGCAGCAGCACCTCCCCAAAGGCACCCTGGGGCAGCCCTGGTAGCCGGTTGACCGACAGACTCAGTGTGGTCACATTGGCTGGGAAGCCGGGCGGTACAGCCTCCAGGTCTCGATAGGCACAGTCGGCAATCTGGAAGCCATACTTCTGGCTGCAGTCACAAGGCTCAGGACAGCCTCTCGCCAGGCCCAGAAACAGCGCCCAGCACAGCAGGCGCAGCCCCAGCATTGTCTCTCCTGTGGAGGGGTGTATGTCACGCTGGCGACCCCACGACTTACCCCAGGGACCTGTCCCTCCCCAGACACCCTCTCAAACTTCCCAGTCAGAGGAGGCTCTGTCCCACAAAACTCAAGGAAAGCTCAGCATTCTCTAGATCACCAACCACCTTCCACCCTCCGCAGAAGGCAAAACTCAGGGCCAGAGGAACACCCGTACTTGCCAAGACTGCACAGCCAGGCAGGGCAGAGACAGGATGAAGAGGACCCCAGCTTCTCTGCGCCGAGCTCTCCCTGCCTCGGCCTGTTCCTGGCTAGCTTTATGACTTGAAATCTGTTTTCCAGTCACCCCTTCCCCCAGCACATCAGAGCCTCCCTCCTGCCCTCCCACATCCTAGACATGGTCCCTCCCACCCAAGCCCCCATAGGTGCACTCTTCCCCTGGCCCACACAAGGCCCCTTGTGCAGTGCAGGCCACCCCCACTCTTCCTGCCATGACCACAGCGGACACCAGGCCTTTTCTGTGGAATCACACCAAACAGGAACACTTGGTTCCAACTGCACTAGGCAGCTGCCTAAATAAACCCCACCAGGACCTCTGGGCTGACTTGGGCCAGGGTGGGGTCTCCGCCCAAAGGTAGTAAGATTCCGGGGGTCTAGGCTGTTCAAGAAGCAGCTACTCTTTGGATGGCTCTCAACAAGAGACTGTCCCCAGCACCTTGGATGAACCAAAGGGAAAGAGCCCCTGAGTCCCCTGGGCCATGCCTCCACCCCCTGGCCACTGCCCTCCTCCCCAGCTTACCTTCAAAGTACTATCCCTCTTCAGGCAAGGCTCTTCCAAGACAGAATCAGAAGGCAACAAAGGACTGAGCAGAGGGTTGCAAGGCCAGGCAGCGTACCTCAGGGAGGGCCGGGTGCTGCAAGAGGGAAGATTTGCGTCCCCTGGCAGGGCAGCGGCAGTGTAGCCCAGGCACTCTCCTCCCAGAGCACGCAGGAATGCAGCTCTGCAGAGGGACGTTTCCTAAGTGACACCAGAAACTTAACTGGAGGGGAAGAGGCCAAATATTTTAGGGTTGTGCTCTCTCTCCCTCTCTCTCTCTCTCTCTCTCTCTCTCTCTCTCTCTCTCTCTCTCTCCCCCCCTTCATCCCCCCCCAACTTCCTTAAAGACATAGCACAGCCTGGACAGGACCCAAGAATAGAGCAAGAGTTTTGAGGGGGGGGAGGGTGAGAAATCGGATCTCAGGAAAAGTGGGAAACTTCTACCCTTGCCAACAGGGAGACAGGATCTGCTCTTTTTCCCTGCAGCTGTGTGTGTATGTGCATGTGCGCATGTTTGTGCGTGTGCGTTAGTGCAGATACAGTAGGAGACTGTGTGTGTGAGAATTTGTGTGTTTGAATGTTGAAGTTGTGGGGCTGTGTGTGACCCTCAGTATGCAGCTGTGTCTTCTGTGTGGGTGTGACAGCCTGTGTGTGTGTTAGTACATGTGAGTTTTGGTGTAGAAGTGAGTATATGTTTGTATATATTTGTATGTGTATGCTTATGTGTGTTCTCCGTGTTTGTGTGACACCCAGTGTGCTGTGTGTGTGTGCATGCACATGCATGTGTGTGTCATCTCCACGAAAGGCCGAGAAGGCTGGAGTGTATGAAGCAGCCGCCAGGCCCCAGCCTCTGGGCGAGAAGCCAAAGCACTGGGCGAGTTTTGCTAAGAAAACACAACCAGCCGCACATTCTGTCCAGGCAGAGCTGGGCCCCACTGGGCTGGGAGGAGGGATGACAGCAGCCCCAGAAGCGGGCTCAGAACCCCTGACCACATTTTGGGGCAGGAACTGGGACAAATCAGTGTGCCCAGCTGCAGTTCTGCCCCCCACCCCCAGACTCACAGGGTGGCTCCCAGGCCCAGGGCAGCCACCCAGGAGCAGGCGTGAGGCCTCCCCTCCGAACATCCTGTATGGCACAGAACATGAAATCCTGCTGGCCCCTCTGGGTTCACTGTTCCCCTGGGTGAAGGATGCACATGGTCAGGGGGAGCATGGGTAATGGCTTTTTTCCCCCCAAACAGGAATCGGGATAGAAGGACAAAGAGGCGCAAAACCTCTGGGTGTGATGGTGCATGCCTATAACACAAGCATTCTGGGAGGCTGAAGCAAGAGGACCGCAAGTCTGAGCCTTCCCCTGGCAACTTAATGATTCAGTAAAACCTTCTCTGGAGATAAAAAAGAACCAAGAATATACTCAATGTAAAGGCCCCGGGTTCAATCTTCAACCTGGTTCTCTGCACCTGTAGCAGAGAACTGAGGGAGAAACTAAAGGATAAGGAGCCTGGGCTGGATGACTCTGCCTTCCGTCATGAATCTAGTCATGGCTTCTCCATAGCCCTCATCCAAGGTTCCTGAATCTTTTGTTTGCTAAGCTGCTGAATTCTGACTCAGTTTACCTCTTGGCAGGGCCAAAGACTAACACTGTTATCTTTGATTGAAAGCATGAGAAGCCCTGGCCATTCCCTCCTATCCCTGCCCTGTCCCCAAGCAATGCTGCAGAAGTCCTAGATGCTGAGGCACAGCCCGGGGCTATGACTAGCATCCAGGTCACACTGCTCGCCCTGCAGAGGAAGCCTTCTCTTGCCGCCTCCCAGTGCGCCAGAAGCTTTCTGAGAAAGCCCTGTCCTGGGAGGCTCAGCCAGAGGCTGGAAGCACATACACCCAGGCCTCAATGGGTGGAGAGAATTGGTGACATCAGGGCCAATCAGAAGGGCTTCTTGGCAGAGGAGACTCTGTGTCGGGCATGTTCACCGAAATGACCTCTGACCAGTCTGTTGGAGACACCCATGGCTTGCACAGTCCTCCTGAATTTCCTTCTTACCCTCCCTCTCATTGACAGTGGCCTGTGCTTTCCTGCTGAACCTGTGGCAGCTGCGGGGAGGACAGGGACCTATTGATAGCTTCTTGATAAATGTTCTCAGTGGCATAAGTGAGCCAGGTGGATGGTCACCTGGCACCAGAAAGGAAAATACCGGGTGGCCACCTGTGGCACAGATGGGAAGGGAATGTGCCCAAGGTCACAGGATCCCTTCAAGGAGGGCGTTTAGAGAAGTCATATGCCATACCAGAGGTCCCGCTCTCTAGTTAGGGAATGCATTACCAACTGTACCCAGGTGAGGGAGTCCTGGTCCCCTGGTGTCCTGTCTTTGAATCCCTGGCTGGAGCCACACCAGCACATCCTCTGGAACCCACCTCAGTCCCTAGAGGTGGTGGCTCCTGTTTGCCTAGGGTCTGCCACTACCTCCAGGGTAAACCCTCACTGCTACCAGGAAAGACAGCGAGACCAGGTTCACCGGGGCTAAAGTGGACCTCAGATAAGGAGCATCCATCTGATACCTAAGCGATTTCACAATGGGACATGGATGGGGAATTGTTATCTCTTGGGCAGCTCCTCTTGCTTAGCCCTTTGTGGCCTAGCTGAGACATAATGTAGGAGACAGCTAGGTCCCCATCTTCTCCCAGCCAGAGCTTCCTGCAGGGCCCGCAATTCTGCTCCTGGGTCCTCAGGCAGCTGTCAAGGTGACAAACCACCACCCTAGTTTGCCTGGCCCTGGGCCTTTCAGTGTTAACATCTGGACTGCCCCAGGTTGACAGTGGCCCACCCTAGCATGGGACATGGCCTTCCTTGAATCCTCTGCCAGCTGCCGCTATCCCACCAGGACACCTCCACCCTGGAGACGCTCAGGGCTGCTGGCAGCCAGGTCTGCTTTGCCCGGAAGGCAAATTGAATGAAAGATCCTGAAGAGAAAATGGAGGAGACACACAGGGCCTGGCAGAGACAGAAGTGGAGAGAGACCTAGAAGCAAGAGAGGGGGCAAACAGAGCCACAGGCAGCAGGGGATGAGGGAGGTGGAGAAAGGAAGATCTGGGCCCATAGTTAACGTCATCACGCCCCCACCAATCTTCCAGAAGATTCCCTGGTTTTAGCCCCACCTCTTCACAGGGAATCTGGAGCCCTGAACCAATCACAGTCCTGCACTTCGCCTGGACCAATCACACTCCTGCAGCTGCTATACAGGCGGAACTCCATCACTTTGCTTGGTCTCTCCCCAGTGTGCGATGCTGCTGTGCTATATGTACCACAGGCCCTGTTAAAGGTTCATTTTGGTGGTCTTGCAAACCTGCTCTTGATTTATTTTGTAGGTACCGTGGGCTTCAAAAGTCCTGTAAAACTATTTGGGATTCTTATCTGAGTAGTGGGGACTGAGTGGTCAACTCAAAAGAAATGGTAACAAGCACCTAGGGGCTGCTAGTGCTGAAGCACTCAGAGATTGGTGGCAGCCAAGGGAGAGCAGGAGCAGAGGCCAGCTCCTGCCAGAGTCAACCTAAGGTGTCCACTGCAAGCTGGCTGTGTCCACTACTGCCACCCAGCATTGTCTGGGTAACTTCTCAGAGTCATGATTTCTGTCTGAATTGAGCAAAATACCCCAGGCTAGTTGGCATCAAAGCCAGGCTGTACAAATGATTTTTGTCACCCTGCCTGATCTGTCTGTCCTTCTCCCTAATATTTCCACTGATATATAACTGTGTTCCTTTCCTGTTTCCCCAATGTAAATGTGAGATGGGGACCTGGTACTGCCGCTGCTTCCCCCAGCTCTTGTGAAGGGCCTGCCACTTGGTAACTGGCTGGAGAATCTCAACCCCCAGAAGCTCCTGAGGTCACTGCCACCTCAGTCCTCTAGGCATGTTGAATCTTAGGAGGAAGAGTGTGGAGTGGGCTAGAAGCGAAAGGGCATTTGCCCCATGGGGAAAGACATCCAGGCAGTGGGTAGAACTGGAGGGCATGGGGGAGGGGAGGAAGAAGGGAAATGGAGAGAATGTGAGGGAGAGGGGGCCTGAAAGGTAGAGATGGAAAGGTAGGAAGAGCTGTGATGGAAAGGCCTTCCCCAGGACAGCAGAAGGCTAGCCACTTGCTGACAGTGGAGCTGTGGCCCAGGGATGCCTGCTCCTCCTGAACAGGTCCAGCTGCTCGCTGTCTCCATGCAGGGCTGCTCTCTCCTCACCATCAGCCCCAGCACCAGGCTGCAGCCAGGAGCGCCAGGCTGGACACATGGAGGAGGGGCCTCTGGTGGAGACCACACTGGCCGTGGGAAGGGGCAGGGCTGACCTCAGACCAGGGGACCCTCTCAGGGGAGCCAAGGAAGAGAAGAAAGGAGGTGGTCAGGAAGCCTGGGGAGGTGGCCCTGGCTTCGGAGGGCTCATGGAGGGCAGCCTGAGGCAGGGAAGCATGCTGCACAGCGGGGATCAGACTCTCAGAGAAGAAGGAGGTGGGGATCAGGAAGCCTCTAGGGAGTATGTGGGAGCCAGGAGAGTCTTCCTGAGTTTGATCATAGGACAGCATGCCTGGTAACAAGCATTCCCACAGAGGCGCTCGCCCGGACCCTGTCCTCCTCCTTCCTTCCTTCCTTCCTTCCTTCCTTCCTTCCTTCCTTCCTTCCCTCTCCTTGGAGGCAGTTATTTCAGATGGTTTTTATGTTGGTTCTGTGTGGTCACATACTTCAGCCTGCTCAAAACATTTGCAAGAGCAAGAGAACAGCAGGAGGCCACCTATCCTATGTCTAGATATTTCAGAGTTACAAACACAATCTCCCAGTAAGTAAGCTGCTCTCACTTTTTCCAGTACTATAGCAACCAGGGCTTTGCACATGCTAGGCGAGTGCTCTACCATGGAGCTGCACCCCTGCCTTTTATTTTTAAGTTTATTCTATTTAATTAATTAATTGATTGATTGATTGATTGATTGATTTAGTTATACTGGGATTGAGCTCAGGACTTTATCCTTGCCAGGCAGGTGCCTGTGCTGCTGAGCTATCTCCCCGGCCCTTAAGCTTATTTTTGAGACAGTATCTTGCTAGCTTGCTCAGATTGGCTTCTAATTTGCAATCTTCCTGCCTCAGCCACCTGGGTAGCTGGGATTACAGGTGTACACTACACCACTGTGCCCGACTTTACAGGCTGTGTAATACATTCTAGTTTTCTACCTTGGGAAAAGGAATTAAGAATTCAAAGTTAGA